AGGTTCTTCATGGAAACATCAATGCCAAAAAATAACCTTTATTTTTAAGAGTGTAACAGCAGTTCCCTTAAAAGTATTAATTGGACAGTATACTTCAGAGCCACTGGAAATCAAGGTAAACATGTTCAGACATGAATAAGTGATATCTGAATTCAATGGTTCAAGCAGCTTCAACAATAAATGGTTAAAAGCCGGAATGCATTCAGTTCAAACACTCGGTCCTTAAAGGGAAAGTCTGACACGCAGCCAATTTACTGGCGTTTCATGTTTCCACATGTCTCTAATAAAACACAGCTTCAATGTTTTTATCCCAGCAATGATACGGTGGAGACCAATAACAGCTATTAATTAGACAAAAATCACAGCTAATTAGACAAAACCCCATATCTGTGAGCCGCAGAAGTGGTTCTCTTTTCTCATGCTGGCTTTAGCGTGAAAGAGACTTTATCCTGCATGAAACCGGCTCAAAGACTATCAAACACACTTGCGAGGGAAATACCCTGGAATTCCCTAAAACAAGATTATCCCTTCAAGAGAGCCCACACAGATAAGCTCAAGACAGACTGACACGATAGTCTTCAATGTTTTATTGCCTTTGAAGAAGAAGCGCAAAGCATTTCATTGATCTGGGAGATTTAATTCATTACATGGTAAAGAATCACAGCGAGCGATGCTATCAGTACCGCTTTAGAGCAAAGCAAACGTGTGCTTTTACAACCTCGCTTACCGCATCCTAGAAGTGAGATTCAAGTAAACGAGAGGGGAAAAGCTTTTTGAGTTGATGTACCAATGAGACGTGAAGGGAGTTCATCATGGTTAGGAGCCTTTAAAGGGTTAGTTCACCCAAACATGTAAACTCTGTCAGTAATGACTCTCCCTCATGTTGTTCAACCCCGTAAGACTTTCGTTCATCTTCGGGACACAAATGAAGATATTTGTGATTAAATCTGAGAGCTGTCTCACTCCTCCATAGGCTTCTAAGGGATCGAAACTGGCCGGCCCAGAAAAGTTATTAAAGACATCGTTAAAATAGTCTGAGTGACTACAGCGGCTCAACCTTAAGTTTATCAAGCGACGAGAATACTTTTTGTGCGCAAAAAAACAAACAAAAATAACGACTTTATTCCACTATTCATTTCCTTCTCTGTGGGCCTCGAGTGAGTTCTCGTAGTGTAACAGCGCAGCGCTTCTGGGTTGTACGCAAGCGTGCCGCACAAGCCCTGAAAGGTGAAGCCAAAGCGCCTCGATCGCCCCCCGGTGGCCGGTCCTAGTATAGCTCATAAGCCCCGCCTCCCCGTGTTATTCAACGGCACGTGAGACCAACTAAACAATTAAATTACACTTCAAATATAGTTTTTTCCAAATATGGCTTCTGTCATTTACTGTAGTTTTTATCACGCTGATGTAATTTCAAGTGTTTGTTTTTAAATAAGTTTGTTTTTAGTTAGTTATTTGATGCGGTGGTGGTGACATCATGATTGACAGCTGTGATTGACAGGTTCTCTGTCACTGAAGCACCAACAGACTTTTTTTCAGGATCTTCGGAGGACTGAGGAGATTGGAGCTTTAAATTTAAAGTCCCTGTAAAGGCAATTTCAAAAAAAAATTCTAAACACTTTATAAATGTTAGAAATGTATTGCTAAAACATATTACAAAGACTGTGAACTGTGAAGTACTGAATTGTGGAGTTAGACCGTTAAACAGTTTTTCACCATTGCTATTTTCCGGATTTTCTGGGCGGGGCTAAAACGGGGCTCGATGACGCACTGGAGCCCTTGAGCTCCTGGACACGCCCCTACTTGATGACGCACTGGAGCCCCTGAGGCTGGCCGCTCCTAACAATATTATAGAGCACATTCACATCAGTTTGCCGCTCAATCGCGAGTTACTGTCAGTACTATTATTAGTAACACAGCCTACAGATTGCTAGCTAGCTATGCCTTCATCACGGAAATGCGTGCTACCTGGATGCGATCACCGGATCAGTACAAAACAGATCGGTGTCCTTGTTTAAATTTCCGAAAAACGATTACATCAAGAAGAAGTGGATTAATTTTGTGAAGAGTCAACCTTGATGGAGAGCTGAGGATCACTGCCAAAACCCGCCTCTGTAAGTGATCATTTTACACGGGATAGTTTTATAAATTTTCGTCGGAGATAACTGTCTGGGATTCACTGATAATCCGCTGTTACTGGTGAATGGGGCCGAACCGACTCCCGCCTCAGCCTTCATCCTCCCGTCACGCCGACAACTGGTGCCATCATCGGCAGTGCGTGCCCACCGTGCGAGCATCCATTCCGGCTGTAGTTGAGTGTGGCGAGTCGACGGCAGCTTTCCTGCGAGTGGGCGTGGTTTCAGCGCAGCCAGTGGACACGCCCCCAGCGTTTGAGAGCAGCTCATTTTTTCAAGATTTTGATAGCTTATTTTATGTACTTGCTGACTTTTTTTATCATTCAAATTTGGCTGGGTGACTAATAACAAATTTTTCTGTGGTGTGACAAACTCAAAACACATACTTAATTTTGACTTTACAGGGACTTTAATATCTAAACTACAATTAATTTTTAAAAAGTGCCGGAGCGTGTGCTCGCGATTGATTCTGCGAGATTGAGGGCGGGGCCTTGATTTCAGGGCTTTACTTCCGGCTCACGACTGCGCAGGTCTGGTCCCGAGATCGCTTCTGCGCAGACTCAAGTACAAGATGTCAGCGCCATATCAGGACACTGGCGGCTTCAGTTCTGACCAATGGAAGAGAGCGAAGGGGCGTCGTCCATCTTTTTTTACAGTCTATGGTTGTACGTCACACGCATCACACACATGACCAGCGTCGGCCAATAGTGAGCCTGTGTGTGACGTACAACACAGAAGCGCTGCGCTGTTACACTACGTGAACTCACTCGAGGCCCACAGAGAAGGAAATCAATAGTTAAATAAAGTAAGTCGTTATTTTTGTTTGTTTTTTGCGCACAAAAGGTATTCTCGTCGCTCTAGGAACTACCAGTGATGTAAGTGTACGCTGATTGGCCGAACGCATGCCAAACGAAACACCGGCACTCGGTACTCCACGAACATCAACGACAAAGGCTAATGTTAACGGCAGTTACCCGTCACGTTGGGTTCATTTCTCAGCCTTGATTATATGTAGTATTGCAAGTTGCCTTCCTTTTTGCTCTTTAAATTGCATAACTTGTACGTAAGGTTGGGAATCGAAAATTACTTGAGGTCAGGAATCGGATACTTGTTATAAAATTTAAATTTCGATTCCTCTCATTCCTCTTTAAACAAGCGTTAGACTCTGTTTTCTGTTCACGTGTGTATCAGTGTATCGGATCTTAAAGGGACAGCACTAATATTCCTGCCGTCTCTATAATAACACTAATCACACAACACAAGACGGAGAGAAAATTCACTCGTTCTTCACTGAATAACTTTAGTAATGTATATTTTATTTATAAACTGCAGTGTTATTTTACATTTGATTACAGTTTCTGTACCTGAAAACCTGAAAATCTTCAAACACTGTTTATTTCAATCGTTTCTTTGTTCAGTTGTATCAATTTATTGCGATTGCTATTTTTTATTTGTTCTTTTTTAATTACCGAGTGTTTACTTGTCTTTAATAATGCTTGAAATGTATATTAGTTAGGCTAGCTGCAATTAAATGTTTTCCAATAAGACTATATTTGAATGATATCTACGTTGTTGTTTTTTTTAACCTTATTAGAATCGAAATTTGGGATCAATAAGCAGAATCGAAATTCAAACGATAGCCCTACTAGTTCCTTGTGGGGTCTGAGCTTAAAGCCTTTGAGTTTTCTGCCAGGATATTTCCCCACGCCATCACTGTGCAGAGCAGGGAGAGTTCACTGGGAACACACACTGATATTTCAGGCCCCACAATGTTTTTCTCAACCACATTTTGCTGAGTTGTAGTGTTCTCTGCCGTCTGCACAATGACAGTGGTCGAGTTTCAAAGCCTCGTGATCTACCTAACTAGACAGCACTTTAGAGAGTCATAGGTGCGTTCATAAAATATAGCATTTTGGGCATCAAAGAGGTGTTACTCGTACATCATTTGAAACATGTATCTGATGCCCAAAAATGCTGCTGACTCAAATTATGTCTATGATTCCAACAATGCTGACTGACTCTCAATGTGTGTGATAGTCAAACCTGCTGCTGATTTGTACACACCTGATGCCCAAAAGTACAGCCCACACACTACCAGTCAAAGGTTTACAATGTTTAAAGTCCCCCTGTGGCGAAAATCCAGCTTTTAATGTTGTTTATGTGTCTATGTGGTGTTTTTAATACACTTTAAGACAAACAATGTGTAAATTCATAAGTCGACAGCATTGCTGAGTATTTTCTCCTTAAAAAAACAAAGACAGTTAGAAATCGCTGGTGTTTCTGACGTCACAAACAACCTTGTAACCAATCAGATCAACGCGTGATCGTCTGAGCTGAGCGAGTGAGTGGCGGGGCTCATTTGCATATTCATGGTTGAGTTTTAAGTGATACCATTATTGACTACAGGGGGACTTTAAAATTAAAGTTTTTGAAAACACTAATATTGTTGCCTATAACAATTCATACGTTTTTTTTATTCTAGTTGGCTAAATTTTGAAATGCAATTTGGTGATCAAAGCTGAATTTTTTTCAGCATCATTACTCCAGTCTTCAGTGTCACATGATCCTTCAGAAATTATTCTAATGTGATGATTATGTATGTTGTTGCCAAGAAACCTGCAGCTACTGACTATAACTCGACTATGAAACTGAAGCGCCACTTTTGATGCCCAAAACTGCATTGTGACTCGGAACATAACTCGCCCATAACTCATAAACTGCTGATGCCTCTCACACACACACACACACACCTGCCGACTCCGAGCGCACCTTTGCTGTGTAAACACACAGCTTGTAGTGTTTTGAGACACGGCCCACAAATGCTTCTCATTCATTTAAGAAGAGTGTCAGCCAGGACAGATCTCTTACCTTGGGAAGATCCCGGAGCTGGTTCGCGTCCAGCAGGAGCTCCTCCAAACTCGCTCGGTATCGATAGATCTCATCCGGGACGAAGAGGAGCGAGCAGTGGCGCTTATCGATCGACTCGATGTGACGGTTACACCGCCACAGGGGGATACAGTGAAACATCACGAGCAAAACCCTGGAGAAATGAACCCCGAATGCTGGAAAAGTTAAAAAATATATAATAAAAAAACCGGGAACGGCGAGAGCGCGCCGGAGCAACTAGTGTCGATCACAATCTATCGATCTCACGCGCACAAACATGCAATAATAAACACGTCGCGCTCCACTTCTGCAGTTTTCTTTCCGCTTTTTTCACCTTTCTCGCCACATCTTTAACAGGAAGGCTGAGGAGAGTCCCGTATGTTTCTTTGTAAGCGGTTACATGTCTGTTTAGCTGCGTTTATTCCGTATTTTTTCTTATCCCGGAGTTTATTTCCTCTTAGTCCAGTTTCTGACCCGGAACATTCACTCCCTCATTCCAGGTCGACGTCACGAATCCCATCGGCTCCTCCCTTCTTTCTTTCTGTCGCTCAATCCCTCCCTCCCTGCACACACACACACACACACACACACACACACACCACCGTCAGCTGAACTACATGAACTACACTTCCCATAACACACCTGCTGTCCCTGAAGTGTGATGTGACATTCAACAAGTTATATCATTATTCCAAAAAAATATCTATCTATCTGTCTGTCTGTCTGTCTGTCTGTCTGTCTGTCTGTCTGTCTGTCTATCTATCTATCTATCTATCTATCTATCTATCTATCTATCTATCTATATATCTATCTATCTATCTATCTATCTATCTATCTATCTTTTTATCTATCTATCTATCTATCTATCTATCTATCTATCTATCTATCTATCTATCTTTTTATCTATCTATCTATCTATCTATCTATCTATCTATCTATCTATCTATCTATCTATCTATCTATCTATCTGTCTGTCTATCTATCTATCTGTATATCTGTCTATCTATCTGTCTGTCTGTCTATCTATCTTTTTATCTATCTATCTATCTATCTATCTATCTATCTATCTATCTATCTATCTATCTATCTATCTTTTTATCTATCTATCTATCTATCTATCTATCTATCTATCTATCTATCTATCTGTATGTCTGTCTGGTTGTCTATCTATCTATCTATCTATCTATCTATCTATCTATCTATCTATCTGTGTGTATGTCTATCTATCTATCTATCTATCTTTTTATCTATCTATCTATCTATCTATCTATCTATCTATCTTTTTATCCATCTATCTATCTATCTTTTTATTTATCTATCTGTCTTTTTATTTATCTATCTATCTTTTTATCTATCTATCTATCTATCTATCTATCTATCTATCTATCTATCTATCTATCTATCTATCTATCTATCTATCTATCTATCTATCTATCTATCTGTATTTCTGTCTGGTTGTCTATCTATTTATCTATCTGTATGTATATCTATCTATCTATCTATCTTTTTATCTATCTATCTTTTTATCTATCTATCTTTTTATCTATCTATCTATCTATCTATCTATCTATCTATCTATCTATCTATCTGTCTGGTTGTCTATCTTTTTATCTATCTATCTATCTATCTATCTATCTATCTATCTGTATATCTATCTATCTATCTATCTATCTATCTATCTATCTATCTATCTATCTATCTATCTATCTATCTATCTATCTGTATATCTATCTGTATATGTATGTCTATCTATCTATCTATCCATGTTATGATTTGAGAATAATCACTGTGTTTGCGTCAGTAAATGTAGAAATCCTAAGAATGTCAGTGTGTAATGTGGTCACTGTCACATTTCAGCTTATTTGATTTTATTTTTTAATATTTCTAATGCATTTACACCATACACTGTTTACACTCTGTTCAAAAAACATCTAAAAAACTGGTTCATAACACATCAGACATGTCAGCATTAATATCTTCCCTCAACCCAACTGTGCTGCCACTCGTGTCTATGTGTCAATGTGTAGTTTAATTTTTATAAATTAGTATCAATTTTAACAATGTCTATTATAGCAAACGTGTACACTGTGTTTATCAAGATTGAAGAATTATATCTGTTTTACTGCTTTTTATATTTGTATTGTTCATTGTAATCTTTAATTGTTGTTTTATTGTTTTTCTTTTTAGGTAGACAATTTTAAGATCTGTCCAGGGACTACAGATGAAAAATAGCCTTTTGGCTAATTCTGGTGCATTTACAGTAATGTCAGTTAATGTGTGCACTGTCCCTGTCTAATAAATATAAATATAAAATACATAGCTTTTCTTTTTTCTTACATTTTTCAAAATGCTAAATCTCTCCTTATTTCCAGGTTTAAATGAGAAAGATCAAACTCTTAAGTCTTTAGTGCAACAGATTGTGCTACGGTTATTCCTTCATATTTAGATTTTTCTGTTTTCTTATAAAAACGAGATTTTAAAATATATATATTTTACAGTTTTTCTCAAACGCCTTTGGCACATTTTCACAGTCTTAACATTCTCTAAATTGTGAACTGAATTGTCACAACTGTTTGCTGGAGCATCATAACTCTACATCACGTCTGCAACAGAGTAACTCATGCCGAGTAAGACCTGATCCTGGATCAACATTCCTGTCCCAAAATGTAGTCCTTACCCAATCCCTAATCCCTAAACCTAACCCTACCCATAACTTTTCCCTAAAATCAGAGGGTAATGATCGGTGAGTAACACTGATGTTTAAGTACTTCACTCTGGTTCTAAGCCTAAACTTGACATAAACTGTAAACTTGTCCCTCAAATCTGATTGGTTGATTGGAAAGTTGATCCAGCAACATGTGGTACTTGGTGAAATCACGTTCACCTTCTAACTATAGTGTCAGTACACTGGCCAATGCAGCAATATAACAAGTGTTTATCATCATGAGAGCCATGTTCAAAATACTTAATGGTTTTTCACCATGGAAATATTAGTTATAACAAATTTAATGTTTTTTTTTCTTTTTTGTTGACTAACTGCTTTCTATACTGTACAAGAATGTCAAGAATGTAAACACAGGTTCAGAGAGTATGTAAAAATTGACTGAGAAAAGTCAATACTGTAGTACACAAAAAGAATATAAACATTTGTATTTTTTAAATACAGTACATTTATTTTTGCAGCAATGTGTCACATGTGAACGGAAAATTCTCAATTGCTTGTTCATTCTCTATTATATCTTTCTCTAACACATACAGCACGAAATATCTTCTTATTACATATCTTCCTATTATTGAGAATGTTTAGATTACATGTAACATTTCAAGAACAAAATGTACTTTAAAAATACAAATGTATTTCTCCAGTACTGATGTAGTTGCTGCTGTTCAGATGATTGTCCTGTCAGCAAACTCCTTATATATTGTATATATATAAATATATATAGTTTCCGATTGGTAAGATTGTGATTTCTATTCATTAGAACTGCAGGTCATTTGCCAATTTAGCAAACATTACACACATTCCATGTCATAAATATTTATGTAACAGCAGTAGCGGAGATAGCGTGGGTGCTTGGGTGCGGTCGCCCCAGGACCCCGCGCCAATTAGGGGCCCCTCAAACGCCGCCGATCTTGCGTAACTGGACAGGAACGGGGCCCTCGCCAGCAGTGATGCCGGTAACTTATAATAACGCGTTACTATTTCCAAACCAGTAATCAGATTAAAATTACTGATCCAAATTACTGCGCGTTACTATTTTTGTCATTTTCTTTAGAAATGATGGCTGATATGCGATATGAAACCGAAATGTGTGTGAGAAGGCAGAATCGCGACACACTCCAACTCCCAGCGTTATCCTTCCCGTCCAGATCCAATGCTACCACATCTTTAAATTACTATTAGTAGGCAATTGTTTGAAGTTAACATTATAAAATACGTAGACCTACATTACAAAACTAGTTGAGGATAATTTCTTTAAAATTGGGCAATTCCAGCGTTATGGACGTGACATGTGAGGTAAAAAACTTGAAATGTAAATTCTCAGAAAATGCATTTAATACCAATATATTGAAACGTCTGTTTATCCATTCTCCTTAATAAAGGAGTCCAGACTCCAGACATTAGAAAAATATCAGTCTACACATGCGTTTTATGTTTAATATGAGGGAAATACACGGACGTGACACAAAAAAACTTTAACTTTTAGGTGGCAAAAGTACAAAAAGTAATACCCACCGGATGAAGAAGGGTTGGCTCTCCACAGAACAAAATACTCATTTTGTCTTATTTTTCGTGTTCGCATTTATGAGGGAAAAACAATGTTACGAGACAGTTCCCCGTTACGGACGTGAGTGCTCTGAAAGCGGCACTGAAAGACTGCTTTAAAACTTTCCCAGAGACATCAAACATAAAGTACAAAGCCATTCATTAAGGCGAATTTCGTTTTGTATTAATTGTATCTTAATTTTAATTCATCAACCAATTGCCTGGATTTAATCAAAAAGAAGTAAATATAGCAGACAATAGATAATCACGACACGGAGGCGCCGGCGCGTGAACTGGAGTTCGTCTCATTAATGAACCGAAACTCAGCGTATAAGGTAGCCTACTTGCCTCACACACCTGAGAAATATATCTATAGAAAGCTCGAAATGTGTACTTTTACAGAACAATTCAAAACAAAAGAAAACAGACTGTTCTCTGAAAAGAACGAGATAGCCTTTGTGTTTTATTTAACATATAAGCTTACTTGGCTCAACAAGTGACACATTATTACATATGCATTCATCAGATATTTTACTTTTTTTTTAAGGTTTTAATTTTAAAATGACTTGGTAGCAGAGGGCCCCATGATGAAGCTCCGCCCCCACTGTACTGAGAGTCTAGCTCCGCCCCTGTGTAATAGGCTATAACATGCTCTGAAAGTTAGTCTGGCAAAGAGCTCATTCAAGCCCATTTCCAATCCGCCGAAATCGAGGCACCAATCAGAAACGTTGGGGCGGGCTTTACACGATGACGACAGCGCTGGGATTTTGAAGCAGATTTTGTAGCCTACATTACAGAGATGGATGCCGCCGTCGAACATCACTCGTTCCAATCAGCTATCGCGTCTGTTTTAAGGCATTTGAACGTTTCCTTTTAGTTAAAAACCGAGTAAAGAACAACACTCGGAGATGTGTCTCCGCCGCTCTGCATACGTCATCTCCTTCATCGCTCTGATTGGGTTTAGGTCTATCCGCGACGGCCGTTGGTGACGCCCCTCTGGAAATGATTTGTCTATGACGCTTTGCCAGACCATAACTCAGTTACAACTGAGAACGCTCTGGTTTTAACCAGGCTAAACATTTTAGACAATTATACTAAAATTGTACTAAAACACACTTGTGCCAAAACACACGCAATTCACTTAAAACATAAGAAATTCAAACCTGATGTGAACAAGAAACTAATTGTTCAGAGAAAAAAAAGTCTCATTTGAGAATTGAGCTAAAGCGAATGAGGA